ATAAGCGACTCTCTCATGATCAAAGACAGCATTGTGCTGGGAATTTTATAATTCTCTGAAACTAGCTTAGAAATGACTAGTTTCTCCTCTACATTTTTCTTATTAAAAGGAGAGTGCATTAAAGACAATATATAGTCACATACATTTTAAGAAAAAGTTACTGTATTTATATATTAATTGTGCATTTAGGTACACGAAATTAGGTTTATACATTTTTATTCAAAAAATATATTACTTTTTTTTTTTTTTTTTTTTGAGACAAAGTATTGCTCTGTCACTCAGGCTGGAATGCAGTTGCGCAATCATGTCTCACTCCCGGTCTCATGCAATCTTCTCGCTTCAGCCTCGAGAGTAGCTGGGGCTACAGGTGTGCCACCACACTTGGCTAATTTAAAAACCTTTTTTTTTGGTAGCAATAGGGTCTCACTATGTTACCCAGACTTCAAAAATATATTAAAATAAGATCTAAAGGTTATTTTCCAATTTTGGTCAATTGGTTCCCTAGAAACTAGTTTTAGCATTTTCACATTTTCATGCACTACATGGGAATATCTCCTGAACATGGCTGATGTTCTGCATTATACTACACACTACTTGAGAATACCTTAATTAATTTTATCTTCATACAGTCAGCAACAGCCACAATGTCTGGAAGTATTAAATTAAATACCTACCAGGGGGTGAGTATGTTATTTCTACTCTCAAATAAGTATGGGATGGATCAATTATTTAACAGGACTCAACTCACTGATCCCAGAGGTTGATAAACAGAATCAGGCAGAGACAGGAATTTCTACTTCCATATAACCTTCAGTGTTCCCAATCTAGCCTAGGATAGGGAGACTTCCTGAGGATACACTGAGAGCTTTCTTGAAGCAAAGAAAGTAACCGGTACCCCACATATTTGGAGTCCTCTTACCTAGCCTCTTTTGACCAAAACAGACACCAATCACACGGCTGCTAAGGGAAACCCCTCCTCACAGTGCGAGCCTACCCTTGGGAGGAAGTTTTATATGCTCAATCCATCCATTCCTGATTCATTCCAACTACTGCCTCTGATCAGATCCAGATGCAACTGCTGTCTTGCCTGTGCCTGCTTCTGCCTCTTGGCAACTGCATATAACATATTTAATATTCTGCTCTGTCCCTGATATTTCTCCAAAGTATATGCAAAGTATGTTCTTCTGTGCCTTTGGAGGCTTCTGATCAGTCATTTTGGTAAGAAACCTCCAAACCACTGCTCATAGAAATCAGAGATGACACAAACCACTGCTCAATCAAATTAGAGATAACATAAATGGGAAAACATTCCATACTCATGGATAGGAAGAATCAGTATCATTAAAATGGCCATACAAAGTCATACAAACTGCCCAAAGCAATTTATAGATACAATGCTATCTCCATTAAACTGCCAATGACATTCTTCAAATTAACTAGAAAAAGCTACTTTAAAATTCAGAACTAGAAAAAAACTATTTTAAAATTCATATGGAACCAAAAAGGAGCTTGAACAGCCAAGGCTACAACTTTAGACACAACAGAACTGTTTTTGCAAAAAGAAGTGTGGTTTATTAATCATAATGTTTATCTTTTGGCAGCTAGCTTGTTTTCCTTTCTGTCCCTCAAAACCAAAACACAGCAAATACTTTGTTTTCACTCCCTACTCCAAATTTCTGTGCACAGCAGGAAGCATACTGTATTCACTACCTAGGGTTAGTCAAAAGACTATGAATCCCACATTGTACAGCAAAAGGTGTCAAATAGCTTTTACACAATATTTTCTGAAAGGCATGTTAAATTCTCACGGGCTTTATTTAGTTTAACAAGTTTCACTAGGGGAACCTATTTCCTAAAACTTTCCACAGTGAAACTGATACTCTCACATCACTGTCTTAGTAGTCAACAAATTTGCCTAAAAGTTAAAATCAAGCAGTTTATTATATGAAACCATTTTTCCTTAATATCCACAACTGAGAGACTCATTCTAAACTCACTGAGAAGTTAGACAAGTTTCGATTATTGCTATTACAAACGAAGTTCTGAACTTTCTCTGTGTCTTACATCTTTTTTACTATTTGATGACGCTTCTTGAACTCCTCTCTGAATACTGTTCTTAAATACACACAGGATTTACAAGAAAACCAATTAAAACAGTCATAAAAAGTAAACGTGATATATATGTATGTATGATTCTCTACTGCATTAAATTCAGTGATGTGTAAGTCACTATAATTTTGAAGAAATAAGTATAAACAGTATTTCTATATTTGCAAATTCAATGTGATATAAACGCATTTATGATCTTTACTGATGATAGTTGCAACTATTACCGTGATTTGTTGCTTATATTTGTAACTTGAGTAATATTAGTTTTTAAAGTTTAGTGAAATGATACACCTTTCTTTTTTTTTTTTTTTTTTTTGAGACGGAGTTTCGCTCTTGTTACCCAGGCTGGAGTGCAACGGCGCAATCTCGGCTCACCGCAACCTCCGCCTCCTGGGTTCAGGCAATTCTCCTGCCTCAGCCTCCTGCGTAGCTGGGATTACAAGCATGCCACCATGCCCAGCTAATTTTTTGTATTTTTAGTAGAGACGGGGTTTCACCATGTTGACCAGGATGGTCTCGATTTCTTGACCTCATGATCCACCCACCTCGGCCTCCCAAAGTGCTGGGATTACAGGCTTGAGCCACCGCGCCCGGCCGATACACCTTTCTTTCTATCCATGTTCATGGGTTATCTAAATTCTGTCTATGAAACCCATAATTTAGGAACGCTTGATCAGAATTTCATATCTTACCAGAGAAGCAGTCTTATACAGAATTATTCTGAAACATCAGTATATGTAAGGCAAGGTACTAAAGTATTCCCTAAGCTTAACAATTCTTCACCCCTGGGTTAAAATCAGTTTCTAGTGTCTTGTCTTTCCACCAATGACAGGTGTTGGCCAATGCTAGCTCTGAAAAACATGCTCACTTTTATTTTAGAAACGTATTATCTTTTATCATCCGTAAAAACTTGCCCCATAAGGTAAGTCTAAAATCGCCACATTCTTCACATTTCTACAACACACACGGCTTACAAGCTAACATCTTAACAAGGCAGAATCTATTTCTAACTAGATGACACTGAAATGTACTTCCCTACCTTCCTTCCACTCATTAAATTATTTAGAAGACTTTTTAAGAAATAATTTTTTTTTTTTAGGGAGGCAGGCACTTCGTAGAACCCTTCGCTAAAACTTTACACTACTCCGAAGTCTCAGCTAGCCGTAACCGACTCAGCCCGGGCCTAGCCGGTCCCGCAGTCCCGTGACACGCGCGGTCCAGCAAGAGAAAAGGGAACAACAGCGCAGGGCTCGCTGGAGCAAGGACCCTGCCACACCTCACCGCACCCCACCCCCACGCCGAGCCGGACGGCCAAGGCTGTGGGACGCTGCGGTCCAGGCGCTCGCCCTCCACCCCGGCCCCGGTCCCGGCCCCGGATGGGCCGCAGACCTCCAGAGCGCTGCATCCCCGCCTGCTCCCCTCCCATCTCCGGTGGGGAAGTCACCTGAAATGACCGGCCAGGGAGCAGCGGCAGCACCACACCGGCATGGAGCGCTGCGCGAGGGGCGCCCCAGCTCGGCCGCCGTGGCCGCCTCCACCTCCCCCGGCGAGGCTGCCCGCTCCAGGCGCCCGCCCGCTCTGGGTAGTGGGGTCTGCCCGGCGCTCCCGCCCAGCACCTCGCCGTTGCCGCAGCTGCCCCGGCTCTGCGACGCCAGAGTCCGCCTCCAGATAGCGGCTTCCGTTTCTCGCCTGCGGGGAGCCAGGCGCCAGCCGCGGGTGATTGCCGAGCGAGGGTATAGGGGCGGAGCGGAGCGGGGCGGGGACGCAGCGACGGCGGCGGCGGCGGCGCGCGGGCCCCTCCTCGCAGGTGCGGCGGCGGGCGAGGCCTGCGATTGGTGGAGCCGCGATCCGGGCGAGGGGCCGGGCCTGGCGAAGCCAAGGCTGCGCGGGCAGGCTGCAACCGGGACCTGGACCTCGGTCTACGCTCCGCCGCCCCTCCGCGTGGGACGTGGTGAGGCCGATGGGTGCGCACCGAGAGGGCCGAGGGACTAGCAGAAGAGAAGCTGCTGAGAACTCGGGACACCCAGATGGCCGGGCGGAGGTTCCTGCATACGGCGCGGCCTCGGCCACCTCGCCAAGGACCCCGGGAAGGGTCAAGCTTCCCGCGCCTGAGAACCCACCCGGGTGTTCTCGCGCCGCCCGGGTGCCTCCCTCCCTGGCCACCGCATCACAGTCACCTGGGGGACCTCACCAAACCACAGGTGCCCGGGACCCGCCCCTCCCGGTTCTTTTATGGAAGTCTCGCTTCCGGGAAGAGGTCATCCTCCCTTCTTTAAGTCTGTGGCTCTCAGCACCCACAAGTGTGGGAATTACCAGCACGCTGGGCAAAAATCCGGGTGCTCAGGCCTGCCACGGACCTACCGGGTCAGTGTGGGGAAGGGCAGGAACGCTTGCTGCTTTTTAAGCCCATGCAGGCGCTTGTGATGCAGTAGGCAGTTAGAAAACTAAGTAGTGAGTGTCCTTATTCGGTTTGTCAAAAATTAAAGGTGGGGAGGACAAAACCCGGGAGGGATTGATTGCATCTACTGTTCTGCAAAAATGTCTAGCTCCGCTTCCCAAAAAAAGCCCTAATTATTTTTGTGCTTAAAATATAAAATACATAGGTTTATATGTTTCAATATAATTTTGTAAAACAAATGTTAAGTTTTACTGAATGTTGTCACTGAACAAACTTATGATGAGCAGGTATTTTAGAGTATGTGGAGCTTAAAAGAAAATCATAGGACTCAAACTGCCACCAGGGTTATACAATCTAAGAATATATTAACCACTTTTAAGAATTGTGTGTTTTTCTCTTTTTTGAGTTTTTGACGGTTTGACAGGTTCATTTCATTTGAATGTTGGTTCTGAAAGTGAAGCATGCGGTTAAAGTACCTAAATTCCTGAAATCAGTGCTTAATTGTGCAGCACATATGCTAAACTAGAACCATACAGAGATTAGCATGGCCCCTGCCCAAGGATGTCACACAAATTTGTGAAGGGTTCCTTATTTTTAAATATATACACCTACTATGTAACAACAAAAATTTAAATAAACACATAAATTCCTAAAAGCTATGTCAATCCAATCCAGATAATTCTTTTCTATTTTAATTTTTTTGTGGGTATATACTAGGTATATATATATATATATTTATGGGGTACATAAGATTTTGATACAGGCATACAATAAGTAATAATGACATCAGGATAAATGGAGTAGGTATTTCCTCAAACATTTGTCCTTTCTTCGTGCTACAAAAAATCCAATTATGCTCTTTTAGCTATTTTTAAATGTACAATGAATTATCATTGACTATAGTCACTCTTGTGCTATCAAATACTATATCTAATTCTATCTAACTATATTTTTGTATCCATTAACCATCCCCATTTCGCTCGTTCATTTCCCACTACCCTGCTCAGCCTTGTAACCATCATTCTGCTATCTCCATTAGTTCAATTGTTTTGATTTTTAGCTCCCACAAATAAGTGAGAACATGCAAAGTTTGTCATTCTGTGCCTGGCCTATTTCACTTAACATAATGACATCAGTTGTATCCATTTTGTTGCAATTAACAGCATGTCATTATTTTTTAATAGCTGACTGCTACTCTGTTGTGTACCTAAACCACATTTTCTTTATTTGTCTGCTGATGGACACTTAGGTTGTTTCCAAATCTTGGCTGTTGTGAACAGTGCTGCATTAAACATGGGAGTGCAGATATCTATCTCTTAGATATACTGATTTCCTTTCTTTGGGGTATATATGTAGCAGTGGCATTGCTGGATCCTGTCGTAGCTCTATTTTTAGTTTTTTTGAGGGATCTCCAAACTATTCTCCATAGTAGCAATACTAATTTACATTTCTACCAGCAGTATACGGTGGGTCTCTTTTCTCCACATCCTCCCAGCATTTGTTATTGCCTGGCTTCTGGATACAGGCCTTTTGAACTGCAATGAGGTGATATCTCATTGTAGTTTTTGATTTGCATTTCTCAGATGATGAGTGATGTTGAGCACCTTTTCATGTACTTACTTGTCATTTACATGTCTTCTTTTGATAAATGTCTATTTACATCTTTTGCCATTAAAAAAATTGTTTTTTAAGAGCTAGGGTCTGGCTTTGTCATCCAGACTGTAACGCAGTGGTTTGATCATAGCTCACTGCAGCCTCGAACTCCTGGGGTCAAGTAATCACTCTGCTTCAGCCTCCTGAGTAGCTGGGACTAGAGGTGTGCACCACCACACCTGGCTAAATTTTCTTAAAATTTTTTTCTTGTAGAGATAATGTTTCTAGAAACACACACACACACACACACACACACACACACACACACACACACACACACACCACAGCCTGGCCATGATGCCCAGACTGGTCTTGAACTTCTGGTCTCAAGCAATCCTCTTGCCTTAGCCTCTCAAAGTGCTAGGAGTACAGGTGTGAACCATTGTGCCTGGCCCTTTTATCCGTTTTAAACTCAGATTATTGTCATTTTTCCTGTTGAGTTGTTCAAGCTCTTTACGTAGTGTGGTTATTTATCCTTTGTCTGATGGATAGTTTGCAAGTATTTTTTTCTCATTCTGTGGAATGTCTCTTCACTTTGTTGATTGTTTCCTTTGCTGTGCAGAAGCTTTTTAACTTGATGGGATCCCATTTGTCCATTTTTGCTTTAGATGCCTGTGCTCTTGGGGTATTACTCAACAATGCTTTGCCCAGCCCAGTGTTCTGGAGAGTTTCCCCAGTGTTTTCTTTTAGTAGTTTCATGGTTTCAGATCTTAGGTTTAAGTCTTTAATCCATTTTGATTTGATTTTTGTGTATGATGAGTATGGGTCAAGATGGCCAGGGGAGACCTATGTTAATTCTAGCTAAATAATTATAAGCTGGCTTGGCTCAGAGTACACTGAAGTTTATATGCCAAACTAAACTATATTATTGGTATCGTCAAGCATCAACAGGAGGCCTAAGGTAAAGATCAACCAAGAGTGCAATAACACCGTGGAACACCTCGGGGTGGTTGCAGAGCAGGCAATACTGCTCTGGTCCCACGAATGCCTTCTCAGCATGGAGACTGCATGAAGGTCTCATAAAGAGGGCTTGTGCAAAGATCTCTGAGAAGCGAGGCAACCTCTGCTCTTAAGATCCTAGAGGGTCTTTGCAGATGGGAGCTGGCAAGGAGAAAAGCCATGCAGGGCAGAGATCGTGGAACACCTCAGGCTCTGCCTAGGTTCTAGGAATATGGAGTGATTTTAATTGCTCTTTGTCCTCAATGCTTGGAAGATAAAAACCCCTCGATGTATTAGGTGTGGTCAGACCTGGTAGCTCCTCATCCAGTATACTTCTGATGCAGCTGCACCCCAATAACAATCAGTGATAAACTCAAGAGTAGTAGTTTAACATGTCTTAGAAGGATCTCAAGTGCTGTTAAATGCTCAGAGCACTAGTTTAGCATGTCTTAGAAGGATCTCAAGTGCTTCCTCCCCCTCCCCATTTACCTAATCCTTCACCCTCCTCTTCCATGCACATAAGATCAATGAGATTATGCACATAATAAAAGTGTTTGGAGCCCAGAGCTTGGGGCCAGCACTGTTCCCACGCTTGCTGGTCCCCTGGACCCATGCTGTAAAATTTACTCTTGTGTCTCTGTCTTTATTTCCTTTTCTCAATCCATCATCACTGCCGGGACTAAGAGCACCCCTGTACAATACCCAACAATGAGAGACAGAGGTCTAGGTTCATTCTTCTGTATATGGCTATCCTGTTTTCCCAGCACCATTTATTGAAGAGACTGTCCTTTCTCCAATGTATGTACTTGGCACCTTTGTCAAAAATGACTGTAGATGTATAGAGCTGTTTTGGGGTTCTCTGTTCTGTTTCATTGTTTTGTTTTGTTTTTGAGACAGAGTCTTACTGTGTCACCCAGGCTGGAGTACAGTGGCGGGATCTGGGCTCACTGTAACCTCTGCCTCCTGGGTTAAAGTGATTCTTCTTCCTCAGCCTCCCAAGTAGCTGGGATTACAGGTGCATGCCACCATGTCCAGCTAATTTTTGTCTTTTTAATAAAGACAAGGTTTCACCATGTTGGCTAGGCTGGTCTCGAACTCCTGGCCTCAAGTGATCAGCCTGCTTTGGCCTCCTGAAATTCTCAAAGTGCTGGGAATACAGTTGTGAGCCACCAGGACCAGCTAATTTTTGTACTTTTAGTAGAGACACAGTTTCACCATGTTGGCCAGGCTGGTGTTGAACTCCTAACATGAAGATCCACCTGCCTCAGTGTCCCAAAGTGCTTGGATTACAGGCATGAGCCACTGTGCCTGGCCCTGTTCCAAAGTTCTTTGTGTCTCTTTTTATGCCAATACCATGTCATTCTGGTCGCTATAGCTCTGTAGTATAATTTGAAGTCTGGTAATGTGATTTGTGATAGATATGGCTATTCTGAGTCTTTTGTGATTCTATATAAATTTTATAATTGCTTTTTCTACTTATGTGAAGAATGTCAGGTATTTTGAAAGGATTGCATTTAATCTATAGATTATTTTGGATAATGTGGACATTTTAACAATATAGATATTTCCAATCTGTGAACATGTGATGTCTTTCCATTTTTTTGTGTCCTCATCAATTTCTTACAGTTTTCACTGTAGAAATCTTTGACTTCTTTGGTTAAGTTAATTCCTAAGTAATTTATTTTATTTCTAGGTATTGTAAATAGAATGACTTTCTTGATTTCTTTTTCAGATTGTTCACTGTTGGCAGTAGAAATGCTACTGATTTTTATGTGTTGATTTTGTATCTTGCATCTTTACTGAATTTGTTCATCAGTTCTAATAGTGTTTTGGTGGAGTCTTTAGGTTTTTCCAAATATAAGATCACATCATCTGAAAAGAATAATTTGACTTCTTCCTTTCCGATTTGGATGCTCTTTATTGCTTTCTCTTGTCTGATTGCTGTAGCTAGAACTTCCGGTACTATGGTGAACAGCAGTGGTGAAAGTGGGCATCTTTGTCATGTTCCAGGTATGACAGGAAAAGCTTTAAATTTTTCCTCATTCAGTATGATACTAGCTGTGGATCTGTTGTATATAGCTTTTATTATGTTGAGTTTTATACCCAGTTTGAGGGTTTGTATCATGAAGGGATGTTGAATTTTATCAAGTGCTTTTTCAGCATCAATTAAAATGATCATATAGTGTTTGTCCTTCATTCTGTTGTTACAATGAATCACATTGTTTTGCATATCATGAACCATTCTTTCCTCTGGGATGAATCCCACTTAGTCATGATGAATGATCTTTTTAATGTTTTGTTGAATGTACTTTGCTAATATTTTGTTGAGGAGTTTTGCATCAGTATTTATCAGTGATATTGGCCTGCAGTTTATTTTTATTTTGTTTATTTATTTTGATATGTCTGCCTGATTTGGCAACAGGATAATACTGGCCTCATAGAGTGAGTTTGAAAATAGTCCCTCCTTTTCTATTTTTTGGAATAGTTTGAGTAGGATTGGTATTAGTTATTTAAATGTTTGGCAGAATTCAGCAGTGAAGCCAATGGGTCCCAGGCTTTTCTTTGCTGGAGATTTTTTTTATTATTCTTATGGCTTTGATTTCATTACTTGTTATTGGTCTGCTCAGGTTTTGGATTTCCTCATGGTTAAATTCTGGTAGGTTGTAGGTGTCTAGGAATTTATTCATTTCTTCTAGGTTTTTATTTATTGGCATATAATTGCGCATAGTAGCCACTAATGATGCTTTGAATTTTTGCAGTATTAGTTATAATATCTCCTTTTTTGTGTGTGTGTTTGATTTAATTTATGTGGCTCTTCTCTTTTTTTCTCAGTCTGGCTAAAGGTTTGTCAATTTTGTTTATTTTTTCAAAAACCGATGTTTTGTTTCATTAATCTTGTTTATTGTTTTCTTTTTTCAATTCCATTTATCTCTGATCTTTATTATTTCTTTTCTTCTATTAATTTGCAGTTGGTTTGCTTTTGCTTTTCTAGTTCTTTAAAATG